CTCAGGCTCATCTTCAGGAAATTGATGCGAGATGCCCCACGTTGTGTTATTTGTATAAAGGATCATGCTCAATTGAACATCTTGTACTCAATGTCTTCAGGTTTTATTGGTAGAAAAATGTTGGTTTTGCGTCTAAGAAGACGATGGTGTGATTTTATTGGCTCAAAGAAAGATATGTGTATGAATTTTGTGTATCGAAAGGATAAATGCAATGTTTCAAGCTCTCAGAGAATGTTTCAAGGTCTGAAAGAGAGGGAATGTCAAAATTTGGTTCTTTGGTAGTGGCCGGGCATTATTTCAGGTAAAAAATCGAGAGATTTTATTTTGGGTTTTAGACAAGATAATAAAGGGTCTAATCTTGTCATATATCAAAAATCTATAATTATTGAAGAATTAAGAGAATATTTAATTCATTCGATATTCAAAGAACTAAAGATTAAAACTTGTTCAATTTTCCACCTTAGAAGGCATTATAAGTTCAAACATTAAGATTAAAAATATTTAAGAAAATATTAAAGGTAGAACAAAACTAGTTCAAACAAAATAATCTCTATGGATGCAAATGGTAGATGCAATGCCCCCATCCTTCTTCGATTGTCCATGCCCCTAAATTCATCAGGTTCTAGATTTTGATCTTTAGTGCCTTACAATTCTCAGTGGAATGACTGGAGCTTCCTATGTGATACCAACATCATAGACCTCAAGAAACGGAGACTCTTTTCTCAGATTGTCCTGGTAGACTCAACCCTGCAACCAGCCGAACAAGCTTCCATCGTGTTGATTTCAACTTCTTGCTTTTATTTTCAATGTGGTTAGGACCACTTCCTCAAATCTTCCATGAATTAGCTCCATATTTTTATGAAAATCCTTAAAAATGAAATGCATGTACCAAATGCAAAGATGCAAATGCAGATGCAAAAATGTTGATCCCAACGATGAATATCATAGAATAATTTTCACCAGAAATAAAAGGTTTCACATTACAAAACAGTCTACTTTACAAACATGCCTTCGCCTAGATGGCTGAGTCTGAAGTGGATCACTACTTCATCTCGGATCTTCGTCCTCAAAAATGATGCCTCTCAATGCTCTGTAATCTAACTCGATTGATGCCCCTGCGGTGTTGAAGTCAGTGCGTCACTCTTTGGTGGTTTGCGTTGGTAGGATCGTAGATAAGAATCTACTGTTGGATGACTCATCGAATCAATAGATCGTCATTTTAGTCTGGAATGTTGCACGATCTTCGAGCCCACTGCTTCGTCTCAGATCTTTGTATTTGGAACTGATGCCCCTCAATGATCTTTGGATTACTCTTTGGATCAGTGGATCGTCATCTTGAATGCTGCACGGTCTTTGAGCATATCTCATTCTGGTACTCTGGCCTTCTTTTTAGCCCTCAGTTCATGTCTGTGTATGTGACTGCTTGATTGAAATTTTTTTATCTCTTCTTGTGAAAAGTTTCTCATGAATATCCCCTTACAGATCAACACTTTTGCATTATGATGATGCAATGCAATGCAAAAAAAAATGATGACAAAATGACACAAACAAAAGAGAATAAATAAATTAGTGCACACAAACAAAAGAAATTAGTTATTTCATGTAAGACAATAGATATAGATAAAAATGTTATTTAAAGATGAATTTAACACCTACCCTGTCATGATATCTACCCGAACATGCTTTCAATAGATAGCAATCCTACCCGGACATGCTTTCTACCCACAATGATTTTTCAAGAAATTAATCTTAACTGCATGGTATCTAGTTCGCATGCAATTATTTAACAAAATTTAAAGCAAAAAGGAAAGGTTTAGAAACACTCCTCCTTTGTGTATACCTAATTTGGGTACCTACTGACGGACAAAGGTTCGGTATGACAACCTAGGGTGACCGTTCTATAATTCACTACATGCAAGGTTCCGGCTCTAACAGAAAAAAGGGACTCGAATTATCCTTAATGTCGGTGCCCCCTTGGGCTGCCAGACCCTCGATCCTTACCCATTACAGGTTTTAAACGGAACGAGTTCAATTCGAGGGGATTCACTACCTTATACCCATACGAGGAATAAATCCTTACGAAGGTATAAAGTGTGTATCCCATGAGTTATTTGCTAAAACTCATACGAAGAATAAATTCTTACGAGAGTAAAGCAATCACCCCGACTAATTTGGATCGAAGCTCGTGTCTAGAGCTTATGTTATGCAAATATATGTGATGTGTGTGAGGAGGAACGTACCTACCTTTGACTCAAAAACGAAAAAAACTCGATAAAAACTTGGACCAATCTGAAAGAAAAAATTCAAATGTTAGTATGACAGTTAAAAATGAAGCAATTAAAAACTTCAATAAACGGATCATAAGTTAACTAAAGACTAGAATTAATAATTTCCACCAAACAACAATGAGTAAGCGACCTACAACCTGACTCTCTAAAAAAAAGGTTCCAGTGGAGTCGCCAAGCTGTCATAACCATTTTTTTTAATACAATTAAATATTATTTTAAAAGTAGTTATGACTTTAATTTGGAAAATTTGAGGAATTTGGATTAAAGGAATAGGAGTCGCCATCGACCTTTGGGTTAGGTAGGTCGAATACCTAAAAACGTCTTTTAAAACAATTTTAAGAAAAATCATTTTTAGGACGAAAACTGGTCTGCGTTTACCAAAGATTCGATTTAAACGGGTTCGGGAGTCGGTTACGCGTGGGAAGGATTAGCAACCCCACAGCGCCCATAATTGGTACTGCGTCACTTACACGTTGTCGTAAATGGTGGAAATAATGAATTCACATCGACAATTAAAATATGATTCATTTATCGAAATTAATTAATTTGCTTTGAAATAATTAATTAGAGAAAATTCTTTAACTTGAAAAGAAACTTCAAGATTAGCAATCCTCCGTCGGGAAAGCTATCTCGTCTATTTCTTATTCGTAAAAAATATTCCCTCATCGATAAAAAAACAAATAGAATATAAACTAAATATAAACAGTTTGTATGAAATAAAACAAATTGATGTTTACAACAATACTCATTGCATCATTTGAATCATAATATAAACAAATTAATTAGTAAAATAGAAATTGATTATCTCAAATTTTCATTCGAATGGTGTATTGAATCGCACCTCCTCCGTAAGGGGGTACTTTTCACACCCATTCTATGACAAATGTTCTTAAAAAAATCAAAGGGCACCAACTAAAATTTAATTATAAATAACATATCGTAATAATCAACATATACATGTATAAATATGCAAAGTAAAATTAACATAATACACATACATTAGGGACTAAAATGAAAACTAACAAATATTACAAACTGAAATAAAATGAGCAAAAAAGTAAGTACTTGAAATTATAAAGACCAAAATAGCAAAAATATAAAATCAAAGATCCAAAATAGTATAAACAAGACTTAAGGGACAAAAATGGTAAAAACATAAACTTAAATGGTTAAAACAATAAAAACAAAAATTTAAGAGTTAAAATAAAAAACTTTAGGGGCTAAAATATATAAAATAGAAACTTCAGGGCTAAAAGAGCAAAACAGAACATTAAAGGACTGAATTAGCATAAACATGAATTTAGGACTAAAATGAAACAAATAGAAACTTAGGAACTACAACAGTAATTACAAATAAATCAGAGCCCAAAATTACAAGCATTAAACAATACATGTACTAAAAATGGAAATAACCCGTAAATAACATATATAACTAAAATAAAATAAAACAGGAACATGGAGGGTTGAAACATAATTAAACCGAATGTCAACAATGACTGAAATGAACTATTTACAAATTCCATGACAAAAATTAAATAACAAAGAAAATTCAAAACACATAACATCAATGACTAAATTAAATTATTTAAAAACATTGAGGTCAAAATCAAATATTTACATTAATGGCATAATAGGCAACAACATGACTAAAATATAAGTACATGAACATGAGCGCTCAAATCAAAATGAAATAAACTTCATTTAATGGCTTAAACGAAACGTTACAAAAGAAAAGGGGACCTAAACTGTGATTTACCCCTTTTAGCAAAACACGCAGACCCTCCCTTGACAAAACGGCGACGTTCAACAATGTGGTTATAAATCATATTTAGGGTTATGAAACCCTAAATCCCTCATTATGTTCCCCTCTCAGCCGCTCAAACTCTCTTCTTCTCCCTTTCTCTCATCTCTTGCCTCCTCGTCGCCGAAGAACATAGCACCCAGGGACTCCCTGGCCACCGTTATAGGGAGCAAACAAACCCCCAAAGACCCCAGTTCTCTTTACCCTATGTTACCCATGGTTCAATCGAGCCTCATAAGGCTCGAAGAGCCTTACAACCACCTCCCTGGGTCACGAAACAACCCCAACCGAGACCCACTGATTAGTGACTCCGACGAAGACCCAAGAAAGGTAAAATCTCCACCTCTCACCTCTATATTTCCTTTGTTTTGTTCAAATGCTTCCTCTGGTATTTCTTCTTTCCTATTTTCACTGGAAAACCGAATGGTCCCCTGATATTTCCCTCTCTGTCTTTTTATCTTTGTATGTATCATTGGTCATATATTCTCTGCTGATTTTGTGATGGATTGACTGATAGATAGACTCTTCTGATTCCTCGAGATTTCTTGTGTACTTGCATGATTTTATTTGATTTTTTAATCGGGTTTTCTCTTTGATTTGCATGACTGATGGGGTCTCGGTCGCTGTTGGTGATAACGTCGACAGAGACGGTCGAAAGGGAGGCTCAGCTTGGTGGCTCGGGAACTCGGCGAAGGCTCGGTGATCGGCTCACGGCTAGGAAGCTGAGGAGTTGAAGCGGTGGCGACTACTGGATGATATGCTTAGGGTTGAAACCCTAATCTGGGTTGCTTGTGGGTCGTTGATCTTCCTCCAGATCTAACGACTGGTGTTAAAGACGGCTAGGGAGAATAGGGTGAAACCCTAGTTGAGTTGGGTCCTTTGTTTGGGCATGTCTGAGTGGGCTGGGTAGACTAGGTCTTGGGCTTATAATCTGGGCTGCCCATTAAGCCTAAAAAATAATAATGTAAATGCATATTAAATAATAATAATAATAATAATAAAATATAAAACTAAATAAATAAATAAAAGACCCGGACAAAAACGGGTTTCTACATAAGTATCAATAGCTTAAAACTAAAAATATTAAATAAAAGTAGATGAAAAAGAATCCATATTTACCTCCAGAATCCTTGTTCTTCACCCACAGAACTCCAGGAAGGTCTGAGGAAAAAATAAAAACTTATTAGGACATTAATAAAGAGCTATAATCAAAACAGCATCGCACTGACAAATAAACTTCATTACATAAGAGAATATGCACCTTTGATCTTATATAAGAGCTCTTCTGACACAAGAGCTCCAAATGCAGAGTAATGTTGGGTAGACACTGAATAAATCTTCATTCTTGCTTCCTCCTCACTGTACACGAAGACACAAGAAATAAACCGTAATTACAAAATCTATGTCAAAACTGTAAACATTCGTTTTTGTTCGAGTCTTAAAAAAAATTATTATTATATTATTACTATTATTTATCGTTATTTTATTATTATTATTATTATTATTATTTATTCTATTATATTTTTGCAGGCCTTGAAGCCCAAACCAGATTACAACTCAGCAAGCCCAGTTATAAGCTCACTACAAGAAAACTCAGCTAACCCGAACTAGAATTCAAGTGATCCTGGCCTACTCGGATCCGACCCACCCAGCATTCGACCAGTATCCAGACCCGAATCCGGATCCGACCCGGACCCCTAGGAATTCTAAAACCCTAGCCCTAGGGGTTTGATGTTGCCGCCGCCAGTCCCATCTGCTACCGCCGACTACTCCCCTCCTACAGAAACAATACTGACTTAATCAATCAATACAGAGAACAAATATTATCCTAGAATCTAGGATATTATTACCTACCCAAGGATCACATCCATCAAACAGATCCATCACAGAGATCAGAGACATGCAATCAAGGAAAGAAAATATATATTCGGTAGGGAGAGAAAAATCAGGGGGTATTCAGGAGAAAGAAAAAATAGAGGGAGAAAAGGAGAGAGCAATCGAAACTAAAAAAAAGGAAGAAGGAAAGAACAAGAGAGAAAACCAAACACCGAAAAAGAAAGGAAAAGGAAAGAAAATACCCGGGTTCGGAGTGTGGAATATCGAAGGTCGTCGAAGCCATTTTCTTTTGAAAGGTACAACACTAGATTTAAGGTTCTAGAGTTAGCTTTAGGTTATGGGGGTTTAATATTCGGGGTAAGGGTGAAGAGGAGAAGCTTTTGGGGAGGTTTGATTTGCTCTGGCCACCAGGAGCTCCGTCGGTGGCCGTGGTTTCTTTCCTCTTCGGATGAGAGGGTTGAGAGAGTTCTCATAACTCTCTCTCTTCTCCCGTTTAAAAAGGAATCAAATGAAGGGCTTAGGGCATTTTGGCCTTTAAAATACATATATATACTGGGAGCTAAACGACGTAATTTCGTCCCTCCTTCTCTGTGTTTTTTAAAGTTTTAAGGGGAAATAGCTTATTTAGTCCTCCTTTTTTGTAACCTCATTGTTTGTTTTAATTTCTAAAGGGGAAAATTATGTTTTAAATCCCCTATTCTTTGTAATATCATGTTATAGCCATTTAGTGAAGTTCTATTTCATTTTATTTCGAACACTAATGTTGCAATACTTGTATTTTAGTCATGTTTTACTTATTTTGTTATTTCTATAAATGTTTGACTTTGGTTACAATATTTGTAATTATTTCATTTTAGTCACTGATTTTGTGTTTTGTGTATTTTTTGTAAATGTTCGAATTTAACCATGATATTTATGTATCTTTTATTTTGGTCACTGTGTTACATATATTTTAATTATTGTATAGTCCTCCGTATTTATGGTTATTTTATTTTAGTCCTTAATATGACTTTTGGGTTATTTTCGTTTCTGGTATCTGTATTTATTTCAAATTAATTAATAAGGCTCTAATTTGTTCATATTTGTTTAATAGGTCCTTCTAGTTTCTGTTAATATTAGTTTAGTCCCTAAACTTTATGTGTTTTATTATTTTAATCCTTTATGTTTTTATTATTTTAATCCTTTAAGTTTTTATTTTTGTTGTTTTAGTCCTATAAATTTATGTTTTTGCTATTTAGTCTTTTATTTTACTAAGCATGTCTATTTTTATTTGTATTTAGCCTGACATGTTTGTAAATGTGCATTTTAATCCAAATTTGTAATTATGTTTTATGAATCGTTATAATCTCATGTATATATGAAAATGAAAATGTTTTAATGTGCGGGAAATCCACATACGAAGATATCTCCCAACTAAAGGGAATGTATCTTTTCAAGAATTTTTTGCATAATTGTTTTAAATTCGATAATTTTATTTGTTCTACGTTTATTTATTTCGAATATTTTTCATTACTTTTCATTTTTATTTTTTTTTATTTTATTGTATTTTATTTTATCTTGGCGAAAATTGCGAAAAACATTTTTGTGAAGGGAATCAATAGGAAAGTCTCCTAACTACAAAGGAAGTGTGTTCCCGAAGATTGTTCACGCTTTTTAAATAAATTCGAATAAATAATAGGATCGTAATAAAAATATATTTTAGAGTTTGTAATTCCCAATATTTAAACAACATATAATCGTTTAGGTACCAAAATTTGGGCGTTGTGGGGGTATTAACCCTTTCCCACATATAACCGACTTCCGAACCCTTAAAAAATGAATCTTTGGTAAAAAGCAAACCGTTTTTTTCGTTTAAGGTTTCCAATCTTCCTAACTTAATGGTTGGTGGGACTCTAAAATCAAACTGTTTTCCAAAGCATATTTCATCACCATCCCCGACACTAAATTTTTTAAATCTAATGGACTCCCCGGGGAAACGTTATGAAAAAAACCAAAAATCATTCCTAAACATACTGAAATACAAACAGTTAAATGAGAATAGGTTACAATCATCATCTTGCCGACAAGTGAAGTTTTGAGCACCACTAATAATATAACAGCAGCACGCATACATATCAGACTTCAGAGCCCTTCTAAAATAAGCAGAGCACATATTTCAGAAACAGAGACAAAACATAATTGATTCTAAGACAGTAGTCAACAGGCAAAGATACTTCGATCGGATTATCTCATTCGTGCGACAAGCTAACATTAAACTTGTTTAAATGACAATTATCTATTCGTGCATTAAAAAAATACTCTAATAACAGCCCTTTCTCAAAACTTCAACACAAAGCTATATACTTCATAAGAAACAAAAATCATCTGTAACTGAAAAATAACCAAAGAAAAAAACCAAAGCAACTGACGATAAACTATCTTTGACACATTAAATTGCAGAACCTTGAATTCAACTCATCAATTTTCTTCTCTCCATTCCTTCCCAAACTCCAAGAAAACTATACCACTTAAGATCTCACAGTGAAGCAATAGACCCTGACTGACATCTTACCAGCCGCCATTAGTCTCACAGTCAAAGTACTTCCATTTTTCCATGAAAAAATATCGTAAAACATAGCAATCAATTAATCATTATTCGAATAATCTCCTCATCAGCCATTATCATACAAGAAAAACATGCATATTAATGTTCGTTTTCCTCCAAAATCAACAATTGATTGAAACAAAACATAAATTCCAATGCCATACAAACATACCATCTGTCATTTACCTTAAATTTAGCTGGTTTGTTCGATAACACAATTAGACTGATAGATTAGCCTAAAACAAACAACCAAAAAGAAACTCGTAAATCAACAGGAAAAACTCAAGAAGTTACCTGCCCACAACTTGAGCTAGGGTTTTGATATAGCTATCACTATTATCATCCCTAGTAGTATCCTCCTTGGGTGGTTCCATCACAACCAGCCAATGCTCAAAAATCACAACCGTCAAGCAAGATCGTCTCTTTAGGGGGACGGGTCGAGTAGTTAGGGTTGGGGTCATTGAAGGACGACCTGGCTGCTCGAGAGGAGAACGATTTGACGGTGGGAGAAAATGAATCGCGAAGGAGGACGAGGCAGCAAGGTGGGGCACAGAGGCGACGGAGAAAGGAGAGGGTAGGGGTGGCGATGGGGTTATTAGTGTTTTAACGGAGGAAGCGGCGGCGGCGGCAGGGCAAAAGGAAGAGAAAGGGCGGAAGGAAGTTAGGTATTTGGGTTTCGCGATGAGAAAGCGAGAAAGGGTTTGGGTAGCCATTTGTGAAGGCAGCCAAAACGATGAGAGTGCGAGAAACAGTATATATGATAATAGGGTTTATGAAGGGTTTTTTTTTTTAGAAAAAAAAAGGAGCAGCACAAAAGTTGAAATTTATATAATTTTGAAGACAAGGCTTTAAAAGGGGTAGATTCAAACTTTCATCACCCAGTTTTCTATTAACTTGTATTTTGATAACTAATTTTTTTTCATTAAACTTTTGAATTACTCTGGTCTTGGTCGTTCAATCATTTATCGTTTTAACTTTGTGCTAACTTTTTTATTTTTATTAATGTTTGAGTCACATAGATGATAACTCAAATTCTATTCACGGTTTGTTTCAACTGATTGAAACTAACGATAACAACCGTTAAATCTTAAAAGTTTCAAATCATCTTATTTTAACCTCATAAATTTAAATTGGACATCCGTTCCACCTAAATCCATTACATCAACTTAAGAAACAAACATATACTAACTTATCTCAGTGGTTAAAAGAATCGTAGTTGTTCCTAGAGGTTATAGGTTCGAATGCTAAAGGTTGCAACAAGGTGATTGATATATTGTTAAATGCTTAAAAGTATTTAAAATAGATATTACTTTGTAATCACCTTAGTTTAATAAAAAAAACTTCATATCTATTTAGTCACTCATTTATTATTTTATTTTTATTTTGGTCATCTAATGATTATTATTTTAAATCTTGTCTAATATAATATTTTATTAATGTTTTGGTCATCTAATATTTTTTTGCTTACTCTTACAATTTAATTTTTTAATATTTATTATTAGAGGTCTGATTTTTTATTATTAGAGGGAGGGAGGGAGGAAGGAAGCATGTTCTTGAATGGAAGGGCTATTGAAGGAGCTTGGATTAGATCAAGTTGCAGGTTTCAGGATAGGCGGGGATCAAAAAATGGAATTTCTGGTGGAGAAAGGTGCCCCGAGTATCGACTAGAGTCGATCTAGTTCACATCGCTGCTGTTATTATGATTAACGGACCAACTTCAGGGTTGGATTCTGCATATGCAGCGACCCTGCTGAAATCAATGACAATCAATCAAGGTGAGAAACTATAATTTTAACCATCCACCTAACAGGTTCGACTCTTTTGATCGCATTGTTTTGCATTCGAATAGATTTGTTGTTCATAACGGAGGGTTAAATCATCTTGTAGAAAGCCTATAGTTTTCTGACCATTGGATCGCTCTTCGTGTCAATGAAACGACAACAATTTCAGAACCAAGCAACTCTTCAGTTCGATAGTGAAGAGATTGATCCTTACAAATGTTCAGAACAATGAAACGAGTCTGAGCAAAGAGTAAACAAAAAGAATCAAACTATTAAGGCCAAATGATTACAATGTACATACATTTACAGCATCGCTACTCTCAAAAAACAGAAAAAGGAACAATGTATAATTTTGGCCAAGCAAAACCTGAAACCCAGACTTTTACTTCAAAAGAATTGAGGCAGATTTGTTCAAACTCTAGCTATCAAGTAGCAAACAAGAAGAGATCGACCTAATCGCTTCGGTCAAATATTGAATTGAATGTCATTGTGGCATGCGATGTGGGAATATTCTCTGATGATGAAGATGAAGTGCCTCCTTTGCCTGTGCCTTCAGAAGTATTGCTAGATTTATCTTTTTGGTCTCTGAGGGTTGAAATATCCGAAAGAAGGCCAGGCTTCGATATATTCTGGTCATTCACAGCTTCCTCTCCCATTAACATCTTCACTACTTGCGACATGGATGGTCGGAGTTTCGACATGTCTTGGGTGCAAAGTAAACCAATCTTTAAGAACTTTTGTGCTTCTTCATCATTGAAGTCTCCGTTCAACGATGGATCAACTAACTCCAGTAGTTGTCCACACCCATACATGTTCCATACCTGCATTAATAAATCCATTTAGCCACGAATCTCAAAATCTTAAGTCTTAACACCGAAGAACCAAATCGAAACATAAGAAGCTCAGAGTAATACCAAAGTACAGAACACAGACTGGAGATATTAAGGAAACCACTCATGCAATTTATGTACACAATAAATATTTCTAGGATTAGATATCCCATATAAAAACTTAATCTTATGGAGAAATAGCAATACAGCTAATAACTTCAATTGGTTTCTACCGAGTTTGGACTTTGGAGAATTTCACCATGGAATGTCGTATGATCCGAATGGCAACACCTGATGTGTTGGTTGTGGATAGAAGGTCAGGCATGGAGTCAGTGGCTTAGCTAAGTGGAGATTGACCTAAACGATTGGGCCAAAACCATGTGACTCGGCCATTTGACATCAAATGACATGGAATAAGTACAGAACACAAATAAGGAATTCAAGAACCATAAATGTTTAAGCTTTTGTGAAAAAAAAGCAGATCTACTCGTATATCAAACCTCCCCAATGAACGTCATTGATAAATATGGCATCAACACTATATGAAACATAGGCAAAATCTACTTTGGCATTTAGCTGTTTCAGCAATTTTCTCATTGCAGATACATGATTTTTTTTATTTATTTTTTTCAATATTATCAGGAGTATGTAATAAAATTTGTTTAAGTTTAAAGCTACAAGAACAATGGATTGAGTAGGTACATCACATACAGAGAGACTATTCGGCTATTAGTTATGTTAAAAATGCTTAAAGACTCGAATTACTGTCGTTATGAAGGGAACAGTAAGACAAGAACATAGAGAAATTCATACCTTTTCAAGAAGAAATTGCTCCGACACAGGCAATCTTCTGTTTGTGTTGCATCTACCGCATACAATTTCCAACAGCAAAACGCCAAAACTGTAAATATCTGCTTTCCTAGTCAACCGACCTCTTATAGCATACTCAGGAGCGAGATAGCCTCTATATAAACCACATAAGGATACACAAATAAATTGGCAATACAGAAAGAAACATACATAGATCACTAAACAAATTATGCAAAGCTAGTACCAAGGCTAACATTTTACCGAAAAAAGAAGTGACAACAAGCATAATCAAGTAAAAAACGTCTGTAAAGCCAGAATACTTGGCATTTCATCACCAGCCATCCCTCACAGAAATATGTATATCATTCATTAAAACTGGTTCAAATGACCATTCTATAATATTATATCAGAATTCAAAACTATATTTTATTGATATTTTAAAACAATCATGTACTCCATAATACTCACTCCGTTCACTAAGAGATATAGAACAGACAAGTATATGCAGCTATTAAGAACTTACGTTGTTCCAGCAACACGAGTACTTATGTGGGTCATGTTGTCTGGGAAAAGCTTTGCCAGACCGAAATCCGAAATTTTGGGATTGAGATTTTTATCAAGGAGAATGTTGCTTGCTTTGATGTCTCTGTGAACAACATGTGGTTGAACTTCCTCGTGAAGAAACGCAAGCCCTTTTGCAACACCAATGCAAATGTTACGCCTTGCTTGCCAGCTGAATTGCATACTGCTATCTCTTCCGCCTACAAGGGAAAGAGACCTTAGGTTATTATCATTCAAGCATATATTAAAGACAAATCGGGAACAATAGTAATTACCAAGGAGTGTTTGTGCTAGGCTGTTATTCTCAAGATAGCTGTAGACCAAAATCCTATGTTTTCCTTCCACGCAACAGCCATACAACTCAACCAGGTTTGCATGCGCTATATCTGCAATCACATTTATTTCCGTCAAGAACTCTCGCACCCCTTGCTTCGAGTCTGCTGATAGCACCTTTATAGCAACCATGGTACCATCCCTGAGAGTTCCCTGTTCATTACAAAAATTACAGTAAGAAGTTAGGATCAAATATTAAAATACTTAGTTTCAAATTCAAGCATTTATCGAAGCATTGTCTGAAAATATCTGAACAAAAGAAGTTTGCAATCACCTTGTAGACAACACCAAAACCTCCCGATCCAATTTTATTGGAACAATGGAAATTTCCAGTTGCCATTTTCAGCTCCTTGTAAGTAAACATTTTAGTGTTTTGAATTCCCAAAACCTCTGTGCCAATAAGTACGCATTATGAACTTTTGCAGGAATAGATTGGATATATAAGAAAGCATTTTCTAGGATAGCTCAAGGATTTTAGCCGAGCCACAGAATTTTACAGGCCCGTAAGCAGTTTACTTAGGATTATTAGTTCCAAAACTAGACAGAACATTAAGTCAGGTTAGCATCATACCTTCATCGATCTCTACAGAATGTTCACCAGAGAAAGTTCTCTTCTTTCTCGAAAATAAAAATGAGAAACAACTCATCACCAGCTACTGTTAAAATTGAATTGCCTTCAGACAGACGAAAACCCTGCCCGGCCATTGTAAAGCATGGAATAAGAAACATCAAGAGTATATTTTTGCTTTACCATATCCTATTAACACTTACAGCATTGCTACAGAACAATATAGAGATTACCATCCAGATTAGAACCAAAGAGGACCGTGCATGCAACTACATTAAATAGATCACAAATCAAACTTCCAAATGTTTATCTACTAATTTTATGCTTGAAAATTGAAAGGTCAAGGGGAAGTCTTGTAGATTCCCTTGAAAGTCCCAAAACAGGTAAAAATGTTCTCAATCTCCATAGTTTTTTAGCACATTAAGAAACTGTATTATCTGATCTATGGAGCCACAACTACAAAAAAGAAACCCTTAATATTTTGAAGGGGTAAAAACAAAAAAATTTTGGAAACTTCTGTAAAACCTTCCACTATACCAATTTGAAAGTTCAAGTACCACAGCTTTTCATCAAAATTCAAAGTTAAAACATTACAGATTATCCCAGAAAACCAAACAAACAAAAATAAAAGAAAAACAACATCTTTTTCCTTCCGTTCTGCTAAGAACACTAAGGAACTTTTGAATTTTTGAACCATTTTTTGCTGGCACATTAGAATCCAAGAAAACAAGGAATAAAAACCAGCCACAAAGACCAAGCATTACATTTGGAACATGCCCAAGCAAATCAACCCTGAACAAAGAGATCTAAATTATAAAATTTTCTCCTTCATTTCCCTTTTTTTATTCATTTTCCTATATTTTCTTGAAAACCAAACAAAACCCAGGTTTGGAACTAACCTCAAATACTCTTTCAAGCTACAACAAAGCTCCCAACAAGCTTAAAATCGTGTAATAGGAGAACTCTCCAGTCGTTAATACAGGTTTAAGGGGAAGATTAGATAATTACTCTCTTTTTTTGTTCATCAAAGTGTAGATAATTTGCTGAAGCAAGTTCTTAGTTTTGCAATCTTAGAACTTTCGTTTTCATTAAGAGAGAGAGAGAGAGTAGAATTTTTTTGAAGGACATGAGACATTGACGGGTAGACACTAGATACTTACAACAACAAATGACAAAGGGGAAAAATAAAACATAAATAAAAGGAGTAATTTTCTAACACATCCCAAATGTTTTATATAATATATATTTCATTCCTAAACATCTTTCAATCTTGGGTAAACTATATATTTAGTACCTAAATTATTGCTTTTATTCCATTTTGGCATGCAAACTTTATTTTATCAAAATCATATCTATCATTTAGTTTAGGTTTCAGTTTAGTACATACTATTAACAATAATATTGATGTGTTATCATAAGATAATAACATATCATCATTAAATATTATTTCAATAGTTTTATTAATTTTTTAACTAAAAATATCAAATTGAAACTTAAACTGAATGTTAGACCTAGTTTTAAAAAATAAAAATGGCATGTAGTTTACCCTCGAATCAATTTTCAACGTATGAAACCATTTTATTGGTAATTTTAAATATTATTACGTATTTTCTCTCTCTTTAATTTGATCTGTCAACGTAATCGTTTTGTACAAAAATATTTTAAAATTGCATATATTTTGCTAAAATATTTTAACATAGCAATTTGATTACAATCCCATCGTGAAGTTGATGATTTGTACTCCTGGAAATTCCGAAAAATCAAGTCAAATAGGGCTTCTCTCTTTCTCTTGAGACAACCAGCACGTGGAAATACATTTTTATTTATTTTGTTTTACATATTTGGACTTGGTGGCGGAGTCACAGTTTGTCTTAATTTTTTTTGATTAGTTACTTATTTTATTTATGGTATTCATCCTGAAATTTTCTGTGTCCACCATAAAATATGAGTTTTTTTCGATTAGTTACTTAATTTACTCATAGTGCTCCTGAAATTTTATTTGTACCCATCTCATTTAAAAATTTTATGTTATTAACATATGTATGTCAATCCTGAAAAATATTTCTGGATCTGCTACTGTTTGAACTTATAATTTGTTGCTAACACTTGAGATTAGGTGAAGTTAATTTATTTTGAATATAAAATTATAATATTAAAATTATCCTAACATTTATTAAAATAGTCAGTTTCGTCTTTATTTTTGGAGTATTTTGACCTAATATTTTATTTTAGAATAAAAAGGTCCTTAGCATTTGATCAAATAGTCACTTTGACATTTCTTCTTTTTAATGAATCATTTTGGTCTATGGATGACAATTTAATTTGAAACCGATAGTTTTTGACCTAATTCAACTTGATAGGGTCGATTTTTCTTAAAATTAGGTTAGGCTTAGGTGAAAAGTCTTTGACTACTCGACCTGAGGTAATATAGTATTTTTTAATATAAATTTATGGATAATTGCTATAATATCCCCTCTTTATATTTTCTAATTAGGTCCTTAATTTATGTTGGGGTGAGTTGGATTTATACTCTGAAAAACTAGGTTGGGTCAAGTTTGGATGGAGGGTATATATTTTTCAGGTTGAGTTGGGTTGGATGGAAGGTATATATTTTTAAGGTTCGGCTCGAGTGGAGGATATATATTTTTAGGTTGGGTCATGTTGACTAAAAACTCGACTCAACCTGACTCTTTGCCATCTTTATTTTGGCCCCATGTCGTTTCATTTTAGGGTAAAAAAATCCTATTTTGGAGTGTTAACCCATCTACTGAGGGCATTTTTGCTCCAAAATAAAATATTGTGGGCTAAAATGTTTCCCAAAAAGAGAATAGGGATCAAATGACCATTTAGTAAATTTTAGGGGCTAATTTTAGAATTATACCAATTGTAAAATACAAATCAAAAGCAAAGCTAGTATTGTTTTGTTCTACTTGTCACTTTCTTTCTTTCTTTCTCTATTCCCAAGTTGGACGCATGTATTTCCAGGTTCACATAAGGGCCTAAGATTCCGGTGTATATGTACATACAAATCAATAATTAGGACGACTAAAACTGTTGTATCCTCTCAACCTATTTCAATCCCTATCTATAGCTACTTTGACTTTTTTTTCTCAATTAACTATTTTTTTTTGCCAACAAAAAAATTGTCATCTCATTTCACAAACACAAGTAAAACAACAATTCAATCCACAGGTAACACACATAAGCCATTTGTCTTGCATACTCTAATTATAGCCCTCAAGTAACATTTAGCTGTAATATCCTAATTTTGTCCTAAAATAAAAAAAAAGAAACAAAATATAGGGATCAATTGTGTAATTTTACCTTTTTATTATTTGTGTGGTTTTAAAAGCCAAAAACAAAGCAATAAACCCTCTCCCCCAGTTTTTTTTAGAAACAGAAAAATAGAGCCATGTTCTTCACGTTTTTTTCATTCTTAATTTCTTTATTTTTTTAGCATTGATGCGTTAAATGAGGAGGGTGTTAGCCGGAGTCGTTGGTCGTCGGATTAGGGTGGTTCGAACGGTGAAGTTGAGGTTTTGTACGTCAGTTTAGAGTGTCGGTATGCGTTGGGGGCCGTTTTGGGTCTTTTCCTTTCGGATTTGCTTAGATCTAGGTTGTTGTTAAACCGACCAATGTTCGGCCGATTGGGGGAGCAGTGGTTAGGGAGAAACTAAGGTCTTTTCGACCGGTTATAAAGAGAAGGAAAAGGGGAGCCTCTTAGGGGCTGTTTTGCCTCGGTTGGGTGGACCCTTTGACCGCCCGTGCGAGGTTCGGTGTGAGGCAAGGGAGTAGGTTGCCGTGGCCTGGCAGTCGGTGGTGTCGTAGGGCTCCAAACGGGGTTGTCGACAGCGTTAGTTTTGAAAGAGAGAGCATTTACGTGTAGAGAAGAAAGAAAATGGGTTATGTTTTCACTTTTGGGTAAACCACCTTTAAGCCCTCTGCATTTTTGCTCTGGTAACTTATTAATTTATTTATTTCGAATATACATACTGATTTTGCTTTATTTTAATTTGGTCACTATTATGCTATGTTATTTATTTCAAACTAACTACTAACTTTTATTTTATTGTTTATTTTATTGCATTCTAACTATTATTTATTTATTTATTGTTTCTCTTATTACTCGACCTTGTGGTGACCCGATCTGGGGTACGACCCATATTATTATGGTTCAGACTTTGCTAACCATTAATTTTTTTTTTATATATTTGTTTGCATTATTTTATTCGACCTTGTGGTGACTCGATCCGGATTAAGGCCCACATTATTATGGTTTGGACTCTACTAACCACTAACTTTTTTATTTTATTCATTTTATTTAATTTTTATATATATTTTTTGCATTATTCTATTCGACCTTGTGGTGACTCGATCCGGGGTAAGACCCACATTATTATGGTTCGAACTCTGCTAACCGCTAACTTTTATTTTATTATTCATACTAACTTTTATTTTTATTGTTCTTACTAATTTACTAACATTTTATTTTATTGCACAAATTAATCCCCTAATTCTTAAATTTATGCAATTTATTTCTGTTTTTAATTTTGGTTTTATTTTCCAGCACTTTAAATTTCAACATTTTATTTTTTCTATCATTTAATTTTGTTGCATTTTATTTTAGTCTTTTTTTTAATTCCAGCATTTAATTTTTTGTATTTACCTTTCAGCATATTAACATACACTTCATTTTATTTTAATCACTATTTTTTACTATTATTCATTTTAGTCACATTTTAATTTTGGATTTAGCTACCTTTATTTTCTTGTATTTTAATCCATATAATTAGATTTTATTACAATTAGGTCCTTATTCTTTGAAATATTTTAGAACTCGATACTTTAGACCTTGACCCTTTTTGGCCCCAAATTTCGATTAGACTTTTAATATTGACATAATTAAATATGTTAAATAGAGCCTCCATTTTAGCTTAGATTTCAAACTAGTCTTTTAATTTAGGGGATAATTCGAGTCGGCCCTCGCGTAAACACTCGAGAGACCATCTCGATTATTCGATTCAATAATTAATTAAAATTAAATTAGATTTATATTAGAGCCTACGTTTTAGATTTAAGCCCTTAGGTTCTTTAATTTTCATAATTTGTCGTTG